AATTGTATGGACCATTTTTTTCCACAAAAAAAACAAATTTAGTCAAATGTCTTTACTTTTAATGTCCCCTATTCGAAAGGTCACGTGATACACGCTGGGTAATGAATCCCATTTCAATCCAAGTCCATAGCTGGCTGAAATAGTGCGTGTTACAATATTTGAGTGAATCACACCGCATTGAAAAAAAAACCTTATAAATGTCGAGTCTGCATGAAACCACTACAGCTACGGCTGTCATTCAAATTGATTCGGGATAAATATAATAATATAGAAACCGAGGTTTGACATTTCCAAAATGGTCCAGTAAACATTATGGCTACATTTTACTTTTTAGATAAAAAAGAAACTACGTCAAACCTCGCCTAACTTGCAATTCGTACATCATTCGGGTGGGCGTTTTGTGATATTATATACATTTTAAGCTATTGTAAATGCGTAGGTAGGTATCTATAATATATTTGAACGGAATTTTGTGTTGTTTACCTGGAAGCTGGTAACTGACCGAAGGGCAGTGTATAAGGAGCATAGAAATGCCGACGGTAAAATATTACTATGTGCACGGAAAAAGTATTTATGTGGGATCCTTAGAGCGGTAAAGTTTCGGACGAAAATATGTTAACGTTGTTACGTGGCGGCGGCAGAGGCAGCGGTTTTGCGCCCTTTCATCGCCCACAAAGAATGCTAATATTTATGTTATATTTTCGAAAAAATTTCAATGTTTATCGAACATATTGTATTACGACCAATATTACTTTTTTTTTAAGAAATTGATTGGCAACAGTTTGACGCAATATGACATTATCCGGCATTTTGTGATTCGTTCATTTTTATTTTTTTTATTTGTTAATTGGTCTTTTTTTCCAATCGTATGGACCTCTTCGGGTTTTATCCTAGCGCTATTGATTTACTCCTGATTAAATTTCTTCTCCTTTTCCTCGTGCTTTATTCTTCCTGTCCATGTGATTTTCCACATCATATATTATACTCTCAGAGTACTTTTCTTGAACAAAAATTAACCCTTAAGAGTCCAATTAAAAAAAAAAAAAAAAACCACTCGTTCGGTTTTCGTTTAAATCTGGTAAAATAACATGTATATAAATATGTCGATCGAAAAAGAGTCTACACTACCGCCGTAGGGATAAAGTGCGTGAAAACTAACTTTTATGTGCTTCGTATTTCGTTCAACCGATCGAAATAAGGTTGGAATTTTGCTCTATATATCAAGGAAATGATTTATTTTTTTTTTCAATATTGGTTCGAGGCGGTTGAGTTTATGAAAACTCACTATTCGGGTCGTGGGTTCATGAGATATTCTACGGGGACAAAAAAAGAAAAATGTTGTCAATGTCTCAGCGTACAACCTAGCGTATATAGGAGAATCTGCGAAAAATCAATAAAATTGACTCACGGACTTACTGACGGACCATACGTTCGCTCGATATGATACAATTATTTTTTTCCTCCCCGACGCAATACTTTTAGTATTCAAACCGAAATGGTTAAATCGGATTAAACTTGCCGCCGGTGTAATGCTGTTACGATTATCGAATTATATAGTGTATCCAACTTTGTATAACCGATATAATTAGAAAAATTCATCTCTTCGACGGGTTTAATCGCTCGATTTTCGATGTTCGGTATTATATTTTATGATATATAAATCTGTTAAAGAATAAAGATAATATTGTTAATTACGACTATAAGAGTAAGAATAATGAATTATTCCGTTTCTCGCGAAGATATTATATTCTGACTTCTTCGTTTTCGTAATAGGATTGTTATATATTATTATAATATGAATGTAAAATCGAGAAGTGTTTTTTAATATGAATATAATAATGAAATTAAATATTTTAATTTTCGAAACAGACGCCCGAGAGATGATAAACAGTAATTCACTTAAGAACACAAATTTAATTAAACAACGGGATGATTGATTTCGTTTATGATGTTTTCCGCAATAAAATGCATAAACTGTGTAATATTATTATATGTCTTAAAATATAAGTTTAGAATTAGTTATTAAAATAATAATCCGACGATGTTTTGAATTTTTTTTTCTTTACAAATACGCGAGGGAACTCCTTGGTTTTAATGGTTGTTTTTGCTAAAAAAAAAAAAAAAAACAACCAATATTATAGGAAATTAAAAGATAAAATAAACCGTTACAATATTCCATGTTACTATTGATCACAGGGACGATCGCTATGATCCGAATTTAATTAGGAACTCTGCTACTCTTTGACCGAATTACTGGGTACAATTATTCCGGACTATCGATAAGGGTTAAATATGTTTTTCTTATGTTTTAGTCGTTTATACAATCAAATTGTTTCTTACTAGGTACGGATTTTCTGTGAGGCCTTGGGCCAAAACTTTAGGATAGGCCGCCGGGATTTCAAGCCACCCCCGTTAGCGTGAGATGAAATTGAATTTTTGATAAACGTGCGCGTTGTTCCGCAGTTTTTCGGATTACCGAACATTATTCAGATTATCGCGACCGCGTTTTTTTTTGTATGAAAACATACAAAATATATTCTGCGTAAGCGGTTTCGTCGTATGTTCCGTAAAAAAAAAAACAAAATAAAAAAAATGAGATGCAACGTATCATTTCTACCACAGTCCATTTCACGCGGTAATATGTTTTAATGGTCTCTCGGTGGAAACTTCCAATAAATACTGCACTTTTACCGCAAAACTTTTACATAGTACTCTACATAATAACATTAAGTACCTGCATTTCGGTATAATAAGATTACGTCGTATATCAGTACTCATCATAATTTATAATAACATACGAACACGCGAACGTCCCACGGCTTGCATATTCGCTATTAAATATCAAAATTAATCACTAAGTTTACACGATTATTGATATTTTTTGCACACAAATTCCGAGTTCGGAGGAAACGAACCAAAATCCAAATATTATTTATCGACTGTTTTGTTAATAATTCGAATACTCGTAGGTATTTAATTATATTTTTTTACAAAATATATTATTACCTTATTCCTAATATACCTTATTCCTTCCACCTTACCAAACACCATACGAAATTGATTTATTTTTCAAATTCATATAAACCCCTCCAAAAATAAATCCTGGTTACGCCACTGCTTCCGAGCCGTCATAATTGACTTATCTAGTATCGGAAAGACACCTATCACGCCATCCTTTAAAAGAGCATTCCATATTCGATCCTCTTTAATGGTTATGACTTCACTCGTCCATCTAAGCACTTTCGGCTTGGTTACGTCCTGCTCTATATTTGCGTCGATTAAGTGTATTTTCGGTGATCGTACGGAAATCTCGCGAATTCGATAGGCCTACACGATTTTTCGGTCACCGTATACATACGGGAAATCCTTATACGTTATTATAATGTATTCTCGTTTACACCGTCAGATTTTATGCGGAGACACGGCCCACAACGATGGGTGCGTCAGAACGGGTAATAATAATATTGTAATTAACGCGACTGGTTATTTTCTCGAGTTTATTCAAATGAGCTCTGTAATTAGTCACCGTTGCCAACAACATTGTCCTATATAATAAGATACCTATAGCCGTTGTCGAGAGTATAGAAGTGAAAAAACAAAACAAAAAATTACGATTTCATCTATTATAGGTAGTCGTTCATATACGGCCACATCTGCTAGTCGTCTTGTCCACCGCGAGAAATCCATAAACGGGGAAAAAATACAATCATTTTATTCGTGTTTTCTCGAAACGAGTCTAGTAGTCGACTTGAGTTGATAAAAAATATTTTTTTCATTCTCGAGTACTCGATTATTTTATTTAAAACAGTTATCGTAACACCTAAGCATAAATAATATCTTCTGACTCAGATATTTCCAATGAGATTACTACGTCAATGGTTTGAATTTACAAAAATAGATTGTTATTGTAGGTAACGTTTTTGTATTGATGATAACGGCATTTATGATTAACTTAAAGTCGGTCAAGTAATCGACTCGACTAGTCGTATTTTCCGGTGTACTCGTTAATCCGAGTACTTGACTCGGTTTGAAAAAAAAAAAAACGAATATTTGATTCGATTTGAAAAATTTAAACTCGCCCAGCTCTACAATATTGTTTAATACATTACCGAGATGACAAATGGCTTGACGGTCAATTGTCGACATCTTACCGTATTACGCCGTGTTTGTATCTGTATGCCCGTTACATATTTTATATACTAATATTCTACTCGTAGTCGTTGTCGTCGGCAGTGGTATTTGTCCGCTCCGAATTTACGACGTATAATAATATACTTCCGCGTTTTAAAACCGGAACGACGAAAAAAAAAATGCCTAATTTATCACCCGAACACACGCACGGCCGTAGATCTACAACGCGTCCCTACTCGACCTTGTTTTTCTCGACATTTTTTTTTTTTTATATATATTAAAACGAAAGCTGAAGGGAAATGCATAGCAATACAACACGAAAAGAGCACGATGACGACGACGACGACGACGACGGCAACGCCTCGTCCGTTAAGCGTTTCGTCGCGCTAAACCATTTGTTTCTAAATAATACACGAGCCTCTTGTGTATATCTGATGTGAGCGCGTACTTTACCGAAAGAAAAATAGAAAGAAAAAAAAAATGAAATTTAAGTGGAACTACGTTTAAAAATTGTTGTTGTAGTCGCGTGGAATTATACAAGTAGCGTCCTCAGTACATACTATTATAATCTTTCGTCTCGAGTGTGCGTTAATTTCGTTTGTTTTTTTCTCGAAAAAAAGACGACAGAAGCCTACAGGATAATGTATGAAATATTAACCGCTATAACGGCGTGGTTAATATTTTTCGACTAAACCCGTAAACTAAACTGTTGACTATTAAGCGACGTGTCGTCTGCTGTTTGTAACACACTGCGCTGCTTCAGACGGGACATCATAATAAAATATTATTGAGAGAGCAAAAAATACACAAATTATTATTATCGTGACTTTTTTCGAACAAATTCGTTTGGGTAGTTTTTGTCCGCAATCTCCCATACATTTCGGTTTCTGGTGCGGTTTATTTGAAAATCGATCGACCCAATTAGGAACTAGCTAACCGTTTCACTATTATTATGAGGACTAACCCGGATCTACCCGGAGAGTCCTTCGGTTCTTCGGGTTTGTGTATAGCTCGGTCAAAAGTGATTTCGAAAATACGGCTACATGTAAATTACCAAAAATGACCTTTTTACCTGTATTTAAAACATAGTGTAAACTCTACATAATTCCTTTTTACCTGCCAAAAATAAATGGTTTAATCTCCTAAGCAGACCTTTTTTACATTTTTACCTGCCAAAAATAGATGGTGTAATCTCCTACACAAACAATTTTATATTTTAGATTCTGAGTGGGCGAGGAATGTATATTGGTTTTTCAATGATATTTAATTTAAATAATTTCACTTAAGTGAGAAAAAACATACGATTTTATGATTTCATTGTCTCAAATAAACACGCACGACTTTGTATACTAGAAATAATTATCAAATGGAAAAATGATAAGAGATCTTTTTTGTTACATTTTGAATAAATATTCGACTTATTCGTAGAGACTTACGAATGTAAGATATTAAAATATGAAAAAAATTATTAAATATATTAATATTAGTATAAGGCATCGTATCGGAAATTCTCGAAAATTTCAATAACGTCTACGTTATTTTCGTGAATTGGAAATACACAAATCTCTTCCTCTTTTTTTCGCCACTCAGAGATAAAAGGCTTATAGCATCCATACCAGTAATCGCAGAATAAAATAATTAAATAACTTTATTTTTCCCGAGAGTGTGTTATTTGTTCTCTTGCTTTGTGCACATGTTTTTCAATACCTAGTTAATATTATTGATTCATTACACTTATTCATTTATTTCATTTACTTATTTTAATGACTAGAAAAAAAATCGTATTACCACATTTTGCTTTTAATTTTTGTAGTTTATGATTGATTTTTACTTATTTTAAAATACCTTATTTTACTTTTTACAACTTTACAACTATTTATTGTAAGTGTTAATACTAACTAGAAGTTAACACTATGTCAATGTAGAAGATTACCAACCCCCGAAAATATCTCGCTTCCAAACACGACCTATAGTCGTGGCAGACCTCGATCGGATTCGGACCGGTCGATAAGACCGAGAAAACGTCCGACTGTACGAGTAACGGAAATCGAAGCTCTTGATTTTGGCTTTAAATATTTCACTATATTCGCAGTAGGTGCACCGTTGGTTCATTTAAAAAACGAAACGGTTCGTTTTAGCGCGGAAACTGCAGGTCCCTCCGTTTTCGCCATAATATTAGTGTCGTTGGCAGGTACTTTTTACGGCACGGTCGGACAAACCGATCCGTCTTGTCGAAAATAACAAACCATCGTGACTTTCGCCCTAAACAATTACAATATTATTTGTTTGTAACATTATATTGCGGTATTCACGGTTACTATATGGTTAAAACGTGTTCAGGTGTAGCGTGTATTGTGCGCATATGTATTACAATAAAACGCGCTACACCCGTAAAAACGACGACGACGACCACGCCGGCGGCAATAATTATTTTACGGTTCCGCGTGTGTCCAATTAAATTTAGAATTTGTAATTGTAATTTTAGATTCCAAACGGTACGAGAAAATATGTGCATTATTGGTTTTTCAGTATTGCCTGCTCCTTTTAATTTTCTACCTGTGAAGCGAAGTGTTTCCGAACAAAAACGCGTTCCAGTCGAAAACTTCACAAAAGAATCCTTTTAGAATAGTTTCGAACCAAGTCGGAGTACCCATTGGGCGAGTTATTATTTTCTTTTTCGTTATTTTCTTTGTATTTGGGAAAACCCGAAGAAAAATTAGTCTCGAAAGACCGGGAATAATAGCTATACTCGAGCAATTTTCGTTAAAATCGATTTTGTTTCTTATTAATATGTATATACGCAAAATAATAGTAGGTTTATTGGCTTTATACATTTTTTTTTTTTTTTTAATACGACTTAGTAATATTTGTTTGGAAATTGTATACAATTATACGCTTCTATGAAGAACCATATTGATTGAAAAAAACAAAAACAAACTTTAGCATTATGTCACAGTTTTGTCTAAATTTGTAAATTAAAAATATTTTCAAAGTACTTAGGTACATTTTAAAATTAAAACTTAACTAGACGAATTCAACCATCGCTGAGTTCCGTGCAGAATCGAGTGACTCGTATCGAAACGATTTATCGTCGAAGTTCCGCATTACGTGAAAGGATAATGATATTATAATATTATATTTATAATAAGTCTGACAAGTATTTTAACACGATTATATTATTTATACCTATACGAAATTAATCGAAATGAGACGATGCGCACTAACTACCTACTCGAGTACCTATCCTGAATATAATTAAATCGAAAAAAATTTAAATACCCGTATTTGTATTCGGATTATATAAATAATACCTAATTTGTACACACGCAAATATTATTATAACGTTGGTATATTATTATGTACACGTGCAACGAGATTTTTTCGACTCTCCGCATTTCGTTTTCCGCGAGTGTTTTATGGATAAATAAAAATTAAAAAAATGTACTAAATTGCAGCGACTACTGTGAACAATAACAACACAATAATTAATGTTCCCGCTGGTTTTGGCGGAAATCATTGCAATGCAACGCGAATTGTTCGTTTCGTACATTCGTATGATTAATGTTTTCGGCGATACATACAATTATTCGTATTATTATTATTATGATCAGGTTAAAATATTCTGTAGTCTATATGTGGTAACCGTATCGAACATAATATTATGTAAATTTGGTTAGAAATAACCTTTGTAGTTATCGTTGCATCTATTCTGTTTCATGTATGACGAACCCTCGATATATCCCTTAAAATCCCTAAAAATTCGCAACGCACAAAAAAAAAAAAACGGAGACGTTACTGCTCGGGCTTCGAAAGATTCGACAATAATATTATTAAATGTTGTGCGTTTTTATTTTTAATATACATTTTTACCATAAAAAACACCGTTCTTAAAAAAAAACAACACGATACCAAATACACAATATGTCTATATATATATATCCACATAAATATATAAGGACATAGGAATTCAGATGTTCGGTCGAGATAATCTTGAAAACTCCTCATCCAATCGTCATGCGGTTTTTTTCAAATGATAGATTATATCGCGGAGAAGATTTTTGACGATTAAAATCCATCCCCTGTTAAAAACCATCCCCAAAATTCGGTATTTAGATATTTTTGTTACGACGGCAAGACGGGATAGCAATTTTTTGTCATATGATGATTTTTACTAATGTCACATTAAAGAACTTCGTTCCAAAATAATTAATATTAAATAGAAATAAAAAAATTGAACCAATTTCGCATTACCAATGAAGGGCGATAAAAATTTCAATGGAATTATTTATTTTAAGACTATATTACATTGTAATTAAATTATATGGAATCATGGAATAATAGAATTATAATTAAATAAAACTTCTCCAATCAAATTATAGAATATACAGTTTTTGAGTATTGAACCTTTTGATATTTTTGTTTAAAATATCGCGGGGTTCGATAAAAATCTTTACAAAAGCCGTCAACAGGTCGGATGAAATTCTTTGAGGATTATTTCGCATTTTATACCTTCGTATCTCATCTCATCATTCGTAGCTACACAAGTCCCAAAAGTGGAGTATCGAGGAGGGGAGGAGGGATCAAAGAGACAAGGGAAAAAAATCACACGTCGTTGCAGACATAAACGAATACAGCTCTTTGGAATCGAAAAACAATTTTTCTAAGAAAATGCATTTGTTCACGGACGACGATCATGGAAATAATATCGTTTCTTTAATACCTATAATAAATCGAACCGATTTGAAAATAGGCGTCGTGAAATTTTCGTAAGGCTTTTTTCTTTTTCCGCCCATAAATTATAATCCCGCCCGTCGTTGCCACAATAACACCGCTGCAGTGTAGAGTGTTTCGTTTTCTCAATATCCACACGTAGACGATTTAAAAAAAATTTCTTGTGAAAATCATCGTAAGGTATCTCAAACGGTCACTGAACATAATATAGGTACCGAGGTTGGCTACAGTGACCATATTAAGAACGTTTTTCTATTAACATCTGACTTAACCTATCTACTAAAAACCCTTACCATGATTTGAATTTAAGTATTGAAAAAATTATGGAGTGAATAATTAAAATTAGGTAATATTTAAAAATTGCATTTTCCCATTCAATAGCCAACACACGTTATCTTTGTTTCTGTAATAATTTTTATCAACCAGTAAATTAATTATAGATACAACAATAAACGAACCATACTACAAAAATAACGCTGCGAATAAAATAAAAATGATTGGCCATAGCAGGGATACTGACCATGGTTGCCGAATAATCACCCTTGGTACCTAATAAATTTCATGTGGATTTGGAATTTTACCTTAACCTGTCGTATAAATTAAACGTTATACCTGAGTACCCGTCGTCGGCACAATATAATATATAATATGCGAGCCTCCCGCTCAATATTTTAGGGCACTTACTATAATATAATTCCCATCGATTTTCGATTATTTAAATGATATATCAATTATGATATGGGCGTAGGTATATTATGTAGAAAATCGTGGATATGCTTATGCATTTGTCCATGGAAGTAGAATGCGCTGCACGAGATTAAGCAGGAGGAGGACGTTAGAGAATATTATATTACAATATATCGACTCCGTTAAGGGAATAATTTAATATTACATTTCGAGTCAAACGAGAAAGTTATATACGGAGACTGGGCAAGTTAATACATTTTATTAACTAAGTTAAGTTGAGTGAATTAAAAAAAAGTTAACTAGTTAATAGTTAAAAATGTATTGTTTAATAAATTAACTCTGGCTGAGTTTAAGTGAACATTCAATTAACTTACCTATTAACATAAGTTAAGTTAGTTATTTTTTCACAGTGAATATAAATGAACATCGAGTTTGTAATTTTTAAAAATAAGGAAGTTCTACACAGTTCCGTTATGAGTTATATAACTTTAGTATATTTAGCCTCCACTCTCTCCCTCTCGAACGAAAAATAATGGGTGCACTACTGTTGTAGGTGGGAAGTTGAGAAGGTAGAATACATAAAGTTTATACATTTATATCTGTAAGTAAAGATACTATTACTCACGAAAAACGATTCTGAGCAAAGTTCGTTTATATAAGGTTTGAAAGACTGTAATATTTACTATTTTCATCTTAAAACAATCGTAAAAGAAATCATTCTATTACACTCTAATTTTTATTTTCAACCAATAAGCAGAACTTATAATCTAGTTGGTCAAGAAATTATATCCACATAGTATCGACCAAATAAAAACTACGTAAGAAACACGTACAAATAATATGCCTATAAATAACTCAAAAATCGCCAATATGTTTTAAACAATTTACCACGTATAGAAAAGGGAAATATGAGTTTTATTTTATAATTTCAAATTTCTACGAATACTTTTAACTGAATTACAAAAAAAAAAAAAAAAAAATTGAAACTAATGGAAACCATTATTTTTGCAAACGTTCCCATTTTTTTACGTGCTCTTTCGGTTTTACTTAATTATTAAGAATATTACACTGAAAATAAAAAAAAACCCTTTTTCTTTCTCACTAATTGAGTTTAAAATTCCACGAAAAATATCTCACGTCGTTTTTCGATTGGAGTAATATTTTTGATAAAAAACGAAAACCTTACATATTTAAAATAATGAAATCGTAACGCCATGTATTAATTTTCCGTTTTGTTTTTACGTCAATTTGGATTTTCCCAATCATTATGAAAACTGCTTGAAAAATCGCAAAGTGATCTCTTTTGTTGTACCAATACGTTTTTCAAATGAAACAAGATTTCTGTTCGAAAAAATGTTTACAGACAGCAAAAAAAAAAAAAAAAAACACACACACATCATAGTGAAACCAATAGATTCGCTCTGAATTAATAATTACTGTTAAAGTTATACAATAATAGGTATGCGTATTATTATTATGTTAAAACTTAAAATAAAAATACATTTAAATTAATTTAACGTGATGTAATTCAAAGTAATTTATTAAGCCAATGTAAAAAAAAAAAAATAAATCGGAAGGTATAATTATACCTATATTATAATTATAATTAACTTATTCGCATTTAATTTAACTTTAATTTAATTTAATTTAAATTTTAACTTTTTAACGCGTTGATGTCCTACAACCGTATTGTGTACTACAATTAAGTGGCTCTTATAATAACAGTGTATTAGTATACTTATCGACTTTCCACCAACAATACAGAGGTGCCTACCCACCGTGTGAAATTAAATAAACGGTAGGTATTATTTTGACCGTTTATACGTTCCGACACTTGAATGGCATTTATTTTTTAAGTTTGCTTTTGTCTTTACGATGGCTGTTCTCGCGGGATTTCGTGGTCCGCGGTTGTCATTACACTGGAACTGAGCGAATATTTATAAATATTTAAGTAATATTTTATATATATATAAATATATGCACGTTTAAAAATTTTTTAAAACATTTGTCTAATGTACTAATAATGTCTAATATTACAAGTCAAGGCAGTGATGGGCTTTATTATCCGAGAGAGAATTAATTCGTTTGCATATAATATAGAATTCGAAACGTTTTTATTTTTTTCAATTTCAATACTTGAGTATTCATGTGGAATTTAAATTGATATACATAAACTTGTTATTAAATTACTCGAGAATGCATTGCTGGGAAAATTATATTTGATTGCGATACGTAAAATAATGTATTATTGCATACCTGATAAAATTCTCGAATAAATAATATTGTAATTTTCGTTATTATTATTACTTTTTTTTTTCGAGAAAAATTAACGTTATTATACTCGTTTTGCATTTTCTTTTCTTTTTTCCTAAACGGATATTGCTGTTTTTTTCATGAATTTAAAATTATTTGTTTCTTTTTATCTCAAATTTAAAACAGTATTGTTTTTATTTTTGTAGAAAATTAGTTATACTTTCGCTAAAATACTCATATATTATAATAGGACACTTATTTTAGAAATTGTGATGAGTGTTTTTTTAGAAAGTAAATTTAAATGTTTTAGTTTCATTACAATATACACGCAATGAAATTATGAATATACTTACACGTATGCTTGTGTCATACGCGTTTAATAATAAATATATTTTTCACAAAATTTAATTTGCTTTTAAGTGTGTTTTTTCCAGTTTTTAAACGGATAATGGTTTTTAGTGTTTTTAAACGAATAGACAAATCCAGTCATATAAAAAGCATTTCAAATAAATAAATAATACCTTAATAAGTTTGAAAAATGGAATGAAAATTTTAATTTTTTTTTTTGCTGCTCTGTAACTCCGCAACATTTGCATGCACTTAATATCTTGTTACCTACGAAATGAATAGAAACATAAACACATCATCTGTGTAAATAAATATATTTTAATAAAAAAATTTCCATTTTTATAATGGAGATTCTTATAATTTTAATAATTTTTATAATTTTTCGCCATTGTTAGCTTCTAAATTGTTAAAAATGTTTTGTTTTATTATTTTTAAAGGGTAATCAGCAATACTCTAGATTATAAAGTCCATTATCTAATTAAGTTCTTGACCTCGAGTTTTGGTTGTGTTCTCCCATGGACTGGTTCCCTTTTCGAATGATTCGGCGCGCGCGCAATTGAACCCGGCATTTACTACCGGTCCACGCGCGTATACCTATTATGGCGTGTGGGCACTTAACACAATTCCTTGTCGTTTTATATTATTGTCGAACAACAATATTTTGCTGTCGATGTTTGCATGTGAATGTATACTTGATTCTCTAAGGAACGTATGGTCAATTCCGATATTGTGTACAATTTTTTTCTATACACAATTTGTTAACGCAATAATCCCATCCGTTTTCCCCAGATTTTTATTCAACAAGTGTGGAATATTTGAAATTGTTTTTCGCTTATAATAATTGATTTCGTTGTACATTACATTAATATTGTTCTACTGTTGATTTTAACCTCGATTACAACTAATAAAAACGTTCCATTTTAAAGAAAAAAATATTCGGGACACAGGTCACGACCACAATATTCATTGAACCAAACTTGCGTAATCATTCAACAGATAGGATATATGGGGTATTATTATGTACATATATATAAAGACAATTTAAGATCATTATGGATTTATTAGTATTATGATCTGTTTTTAGTATAGGTCATTTTCAATCAATAACTGTTTTATAGTGCGTACCGATTAGACGCGGACTTACGGTGTAGTATTAATATTATAATGCGGACCCGCGGCGGTTTCGTTTCTACCAGCGTGCGGACATAGGATTTATGCGCATTTCCGGTCGCTCGGAAAAAGTCGGTTCATGCGGAGTTACGGCGCGTCCGGTTTTTCTTTTGCCGTCTAAGGTATTTAAAAAACTTCACTGTAGCGTCACGGACCTTTACCGGATCTTCTTTTCCTGGCACAATTCGCGCATCGATTCGTTCAGTATTTTAAACCGCAACAATACGATGTAACCATTTTCATTTCTACGGCCGATTGGCTATTATCGTTTTCCCGCGTAACCCATCAATTATCAATAGCACATTAATACGTAGCGCAAATTAATAAATCAACATTAATCGAAAACGGAAACGTTCTCCGAAAACGAACGGTTTAAAACGTCGAGCTTCTATTTCTTGACCTAACGTTTTTGACCTACGTTTTTGAAAATGATAAAAAGGGTTCTGAATTTGTCCGCCATACACGTGACACACCGTCATTTGTTTAGAAATCGGTTGGCAGTCGCACTAATTAAAACTCACTTCAGCGACGCATATAACTACATACATGAATTGCGAACATTTCACCGTTATACACTATACGAAATTCCGAGTGAAATTAAAATATTTTTTTTTTCAAATTACTCGTAATTTTTTGGTAAATATTTATCATTTTATAACATTATTATTGTTTCAACTGCAGCGATTAGGTCATTAAGTCACATGTAATCAATATTATAGAATAAAGCTGTAACCTTAATTCCAATATTTCATACAGTACCGACCTATTTTAGATTCTGAGTGGAGCGAAGGAGCTTATGATTTTACAAAGTTGTTTATTTATTATATTTTTTTATCTGT